GACCGGGACACCATCAAAACAGGACCGGGACACCATCACAACATGACTGGGTCACAATCAAAACATGATCGGGACACCATCAAAACATGACCGGGACACCATCCGCCCACCAGCTCTGACGGTGACCCGACGGCGCCCGTCCGCCTATTAGTTTTGCAAGACCCCATAGCATGGCTATGGAAAAATAGAAAACTCGAACCCTCAAAGCGTATGCAGCACTTTTGCGGCGTTCCGTTTCAGGTCGCACAGGTGTTGAAGAACCCAAACCCTGGAAGTCTGCCTTTCGTCTCACGGTTCTTTTCACCTGCACAGAGACGTCTTTCGGTTCCGAGGCACATCATTGAGTTGGCCACCCGTGACAAACCTCCCGATCCTTTGGAGGACGAATGGGCATTTCGTCGTTTTGCTGGGAGTCGGCCGTGGTTTTCTCGGTCAAAACAAAACCACTGAAAGAAGCGCGAGTTCATTTTGGGATATTCCTTTTTGAAGGCGAGAAGAGGTGAGAACAGAGTGAACATGATATGTCTCAAATGCAAAATAGACTTTGTGTTTTTCTACCCAGATTTCACCTCAGACTGCAATTTCTCTCTCTCTCTCTCTCATCCACTCCCCAGAGGTATCCCATTCATACGGTGCTTGAGGAGGTGCCACGCCCCGTGAGCCCGAAGAGCCCAAAGCCTCCATCAGCTCGTTTGCGCATGGACTCCTTCGACGAGGCGCGCGCGCCGCGCCGCGTTCGTGCGCACCGAACGCCGAAGCCTCGAGCGACGGATCGAGCGGGTCGAGTGTCCGCCGCCCGGGAGGCGAATTCGGGCACCAGCTCTCGCAGCAGCAACCTGTCGCGGAAGCTCAGGCCGAGGGAGGAGAATATAGATGTGGTGAACAACTTGTAAGGACATGAGGACAGGATCCCCCACTATAATCCATTAATTCCCTTATTCATAATTATTCCTTACGAGTTGCACCCGTCAGTTGGTTGAACCCGCAAGCCGCGGGTTTTGGAAAACAACATCCAGGTGCTTTTTTGAAGCTCTCAGAGGAGGAAATTGAGGGAAGTTGGTGCACTGGCAAGGAAGAAGCGGAAACAGTTGATAGAGTCGTGTTTTGTCATAGAAACCATTCATTTCGTGGAGCATTGGAGCATCGCTGTCCCGACAAGAAGGGCGAGAGTTCGTTCCGCCAGGCTTTGAAATAGAGTCGTAGACCTAGAGGATCTCCCTCTATTTGACTTTCTTCTTCCTACTAAGCAAGTGGTTGACAGGGTTTCCAGTGGAACTCAGCCACCCCTCAGTTCATCAGTTCAAGATTCAAGCCACTCTAAGTGCCCCCAAGT